CCTGGGCTTCGAGCACCAGCTGTTGGGACTGCTTCTCCGACTTCACGGCCAGCCCATGCTCTTCTTGTGCCTTTGTGAGCGCTTCTTCCTTGGCCTGAGTGGCGGCAGCCACCTTGCTCTCAGCGTCAGTCACCTTTGCCTGTGATTCCTCAACAGCCTTGGCTGCTTTCTCAGCAGAGCTCTTGGCCAAAGCTTCCTGCTGCTGGGCAAACTCAATCGCTGCGGCCTTATCGGCCTCGGCCTTATTCGTATCAGCTTCAGCCGCCTTCACACGCTGCTGGGCCTCAAGCACCAGCTGTCGAGACTGCTTCTCTGATTTCAAGGCCAGCTCTTGCTCCTTGTGAGCCTTTTCCAACGCCCCTTTCTGAGCCTCGGTTGCGGCGGCCAACTTGGTCTCCGCTTCCGCTACCTTAGCCTGCAACTGCTGTACCGCCTTGGCTGCCTTTTCCGAAGCACTCTCTGCAAGCTCCTGTTGCTTCTTTGCGTATGCAATCGCAGCGCTCTTCTTGATTTCGGCCTTGCTCGTATCACTTTTGGCAGCGAGCGTGCGTTGTTCCGCCTCCTTAATCTGTTTATCAGCCTCTCGCTGAACCTCTAGAGCAGACGCGTGCTCCTCCTTAGCAACCTCCAGTGCCCACTGCTTATCTGCAAGCGCATCGGCAACCTTGCCCTCTGCATCCGAAACTTTTGCGCGTGCCTCGTCCACGGCCTGCGCGGCTTGTTCGGCGGCGTTCTTTGCTAATTCCTGTTGTTTCTTAGCATAGTCTACTGCGGCCGCCTTCTTCGCTTGTGCTTTTGATGTATTGTGTTCAGCTTCTTGCACCCGCTTGTCTGCCTCATCTACTAGTATCTGTGCTTGTTTCTGGGCCTCTTTAGCTAGGTCGTGTTGTTCCTGTGCATCATCAACAGCCGCCTGCTTAACTTCGAGTGCTTCCTCAGCTTTGCTCTCCGCCTCGTGTTCCTTATCTGTGGCTTTCTGCGTAGCTTTCTCAGCCTCTGCTACTAATCTGTCAGCCTCTTGCTGTGTCTCTATTGCTAACTGTGCCTGTTCTTTTGCTCGTTGAATGGCATCCTCTGCACGTGATTCAGATTTTAATGCTAGCGCGTGTTCTATGTCGGCAGCCTCTTCGGCAGCAGCCTGTGCCTGCTCAGCCCGCTCCACCTCCGCTTGTGCCAACGCAACCTTCTCGTCTGCTTCTTGTTGAATTCTTTGTTCGTGCTTTAGTAAATCTGCTATCATATATGTCTCCTTGACTCGCATGTCTTCCTTTGCGCGCTCGATACTCTCACTTGCCTCTTCGTCAACCATCTCTTCATGCTCTAACATCTTACGTACCATCTCCGACTCTTCCAATCGCATCTGCTCGCGCTCTTCTGCGATGATTTGTCGCATTTCGGCCTCCGCATCTTCAATTGCTTTAGCCGCCTGTAGCTTGTCTGCGATTTCTAACTCTTTGTAATGCTTCTCTGCCTTCGTAGCGCGTTCTGACTCATCAAGTCCAGACCATTTCCTTGCCATTTTCTCACCAAAATGCTTCCAATATGATGCGGCTGAATCAGCCTTTTCCGACATGCGTTCATTTACTATAGGTGTATTACTACGCACGGGTGTGCTGCTACGTGAAAGAGATGGAGAGTGTGGTGGCGGCACAGCCATACTATTTACTGTAGAGGCCGTGGCGGCCGCCAGAGCTAAGGCCTGTTTAACCTTCATCGTACGAAAGCACGTTCGCTATATAAATATATGTGTGATCTACGCAGGTAGGATACCCACCGCTTTCAAATGGCGAGCAGTGATTTTAGAGATGTGAAACAATAATCTATGGTAAATTTCTGTTCTGCTCAACGACTTGTCGTTCAACCTTTATATAAAATTGGCAATTGCCTTTATTTGTTGAGATTCAATTCACTGCACAAATGGAAACGTGCATCCGTCTCTTTCTGTCTCTACTCTTTTATTACTATACCAACTACTCTCCGAGTCTCTGGTCTCTCTCTCTACTTACTACTATTTACGTACTACTAAATAGTAGTAGAATCCCTACTACCTACTGCTAACCCAGTGCTATGTAAGTGCTGGCAAAAAAAAATCGAGCAACAAAAGCCACTTTTTACAGTTTTTCTCAAAACTCAAATACAAGAAAAGAGAGAAGAGAGTAAAATATTCAGAGTGAACATTGCGGACAATAGCCAGTTATAGTCACACGACTGACGAGAAAATAACACTCTGAACTTCTGAAGTCGCTGGGGTGAATGGGGAGAAGGGAGTATGTAGTCAGGACCAGGGACAGCTCACGGGCTCAATCTCACAGTCTCAACTCTCACGCCGGTCGCAGAAGTGAACGGAAAACAATATATATAAATGACCCGACGGCCCAACTTCTAGAAGATTTTTTTTTATCCCCATGTTCCCGGCCGTAGTGTGAGACTGTGAGTCACTCCCGACTCCTGAGTCACGATCAATCTCAGAGACTCAGACTCTCAGTCCTGATCCTGAGACCTGACGGCCTGACCAAGACTCTTGCTACATACTGTATACTAATTACCTTTTAACTCTATTTTAACAGTTATCCAATGGGATTTAGCTAATTCTCATCAATGACCCATGTATCTGTAGTTTTTTTATCTGCAATTCAGAGTTTGAGAGTTCTGTACAGTGTGTGGTGCCACACGACTTGTAGTACATAACAGTGATTTTCATTTTTAGAAACAAATGAACAGACTTTATGTACAGTACTACAGGCTACAGGGCCTCAGCGCCTTTTTATTATTTTTAAATAGGCTCTCAACCCCACCGGTTCAAAGGCTCAAAGAGCCACAAACCGACAAACACTAAATATGATTTTATAAATCTAAAAAACATGCTTTTAGTTCTAAAAAAATGTGTAGCTTACCAGTCTGACAGTCTGCAAGTACTGGCCACAGGCCGACAGTACATATTGTGCTGCTCACAGATAGAACTGATTGCAGTGATTGGGCGAGGAAGAACTAGAAAGGGCCAAATTAGGAAATAAATATACATAAACTAGTAACTTGGCCTCGAGGCTCAGGCTCTTAGAGCTCAAGGTGCCTCAGACTTCGGACTCGGGAAGCTCGTTGTAAATAATACTGTATTATGTAGTGTATAAGTAGAGTGTAGTTGAGTTTAGATTTTAGAGTATACTTAAAAGAGTGTAGAACTGTAGACTGTAGAGTGTAGACTGCGTGTAAAAATACAATATGTACAAATACAGGGCCCATGGCCCTCGCTCTGTTGGGGATAAAGTCCTTAGCGAAAATCTGGTTCCTCTCGACGACTTGCAAATTTGGCAAGATGTTTCATGGTACAGTCTTACAGTTACAGAGACTCTATTTGTCCCAATATCCTTCTGGTTCCCCTCGACGACTCGCAAATTTGGCAAGATGTTTCATGGTACAGTCTTGCAGTTACAGAGACTATTTATCCTAATATCCTTCTTCCAGCAGAGGGCCAACACTGTACAGTATACTATGTACAATGTATGTACACATTTAGTATTTACAATGTAAGACGCAGAGCCACAGTTCCTTAGAGCTCCAGGGTTCAGTACTCAGTACTCAGTATGTTCAAGATGTTGTCACTGTTCAATGTTGCCTGTTCATTGTTTAAAAAATGTTCACTGTTCACTGTTCACTTCAAAGTATACGTTGAGCATAAACCTATAACGTTTTGTTAAATATTATGAGAAAATACAGTAGGACGATATGATGAAATATCTCCTATATACTGCAGTCTGCACATAGAATCGAAATATATAAGAGGAAGCGTAAAGATTTTGAATTTTATACGTTATATCGCCTAACGCAATAAGGTCAGCTGACGCTCACAACTGTAAGCTTGGTATCTGACGCCAGAGCGGCCTTACTCGGCTGGCAAGTGACAGGCTGGCACTCTTCTTGTGGAGTCGTTGACTCAGAGTCTCTGGCTGATGACAACTCTGACAGCCGACAGGCTGACTATTGTATTTACATATACGAGTTGCAAGTCTCAACTCTCAAGCCTCAACTCTGAACTCTCAAATCTCGAAATATAATAAAGCAAAGCTCGACAACTCTCGGCTCTCATCTTCTCAGAATTCAGTATTCCTCTATTGGAAAAATATACCAGAGTAAATATTTATGTACTTTAATCGGGTGTTCCGACTTTTTTTTATGTTTTGGGGAAGTCGTGAACCAGTAATATATATATACGAGCAGTATCACGGGTGTAACACCGAGGTACGGGAGCCTCACTGTTCGTGCCTTCTGTGGTTTCCTTCATTCCGGCTTTCCATTTTCACCTTCATCACTCATCACTCATCAGAGTTCAGACTTCAGAAGTTCAGAGTGAGTTCAGACCAGAAGTATATATTTATTTTCAATTTTTAAGGATTTTTAAGGAGTGATAAATGTACAATCATCGTATTTACTTATGCCAAAGACCTAAAACCAATATAATATTAAATATTGTTTGTATGCATTCATGCAGCAGCTGGATTCTGACGATAGACAGTCAGACACATTATAGTCTCACAGACTCACACACGCGTCACGCACAGAGAAGAGCGACTGAGCGAGAGAGAGAGAGAGAGTCAGTCGTGTAAGTCACTGACCCATGGTGTTCCCCTAAGCCCCAGCAGGGAAGACACCTAAAAAAAAGTCGGAAAAATACATAGCCTCTATCATTATGATTAATTGATTACATATGCAGTAGTAAATAACACTCAAACAGTAATATTACGGCAGAGAGATCGAACAAAACTATTGGGTTATTTTAAAGACCAACAAAAACCGCATTTCACATGCATATGTATCTACAAAAAGTACAAACTTCGTTACAATACATTGCAAGTTTTGCCTTTTAATATGTATAGACCAGGGTAGCTCCTGCATGCTGATTGCTGACTTGCCGAGTTGCTGGCTCGAACTGATTCTCTGTTTATATAGTCTAGTTTCTTTCCCGCAACCAATTTTCGATAGTTTGTTTTTATAAAATATCCTTTTCGCCTTGATATACATCTATGCAAACTTGATCCAATTGCTGACCTTTGATCTTCACAATGGACTGTTCTACTGTGTTTCTCTTTCTTCAAAGCGTCTGCCAATTTATATAGAGGCCACTGTACGTCCAATCTCTTTCGCCCCGACATACATCTCGAATTCAAAACAACACCCAATCCAGTCCCTTTCCTTTCCACACCGGGCCCTAGATTTACACCCGCATCATTTGATTTTTTTGGATACCTTTCTCTACTACATACGCACCCGCATTTTGATTTATTTGTTACATGCCCCTACTACACAGGCACCCGCATTTTACTGTCTACAATCGTGAAGTCCAGCTTATAATTCGTAGTCTTCCACTCCATAGGACGGTACCAGGTCCCGTGTAAGCCCTCCGATCTCTACCCGTTCCACTTCCTCTTCATGCCGAGGGATGAACGATCGCACATAGCAACTAGAGAACACGTGTGGTTTATTTATGGATCTGCCGCTGACCATCCGAGCGCATTCCTGTACAGCCTGAAAGAGGGTCAATGGTATCTGTTTAGACAAACTATACCAACAGGTAATGTTTGTGTACGTGTAGAAAGCGTTGTACGATCAGCTTGATACCCGTATATGTGATAGGTATGTGCGGAAATTGTCCCACACGCCTCATGCTTATGACCCTGAGTCATGCCTGTAAAGCACAGAAATAAAGAGTGTATAACGGCAATAAAATCTCATATGGACCTATGAAAGGCCAGATGCGAAATAAAAGTGTGACTGTAGAAACCTTCAAATAGTGAACGCGTAAAGCCGCAGTGGGGCGAGCGTGCCGAGAAAGTCTAACTACGTATGATGCGTCGACCGCAATAACATACTGACATAGAATTATATATATATATATATGTATATATATATATAATGGCATATGGATTGAAGTAGACGGGCCGGGCCCACCAAACTCATACCTCGACCCCTGAGCGTAACGAAGACAACCACTATAGCTACATACACACACATTAATGGTATGGTCTATGGTGATGGCGCAGACCCAAGAGTTACCGAGAACAGCGTTATATAGACATGTATACATACACTGGAGACGAAATAGATGCCAGTAGCTCTGTGGGGGTATAGTACGGGATAGAGGATCTACCTCAGGCTACAGTGACCACTTCGTATACTATGACCTAGTGACGTGAATTCTAGGCCGAGTGCCCTAGTGAACAAACTGTATTAAAATGCGACTATAACTGTCAGCGAAACTGCAATTCGCTACACAATTCGACACACACACGCGCGCACGCACACGCACGCACACGCATCCAACAGAGAAACACCCATACACACCTCTGTGATAGCCGGATGGGGATGTAAAAGGTTTTCCAACACACTCAAGGGTAGTTTGTTGGAAATGACTAGGGATGCCGCTTCAATTATTGCCGAGGCGTCTTCACCCGCAGCTCTCATACCCAGCAAGGTCTCAGGAACATTGGGGTCATCGGAAGCTGTGAATTTGTAAGCGACAGGATTGAGAAATTTCATTATCTTTCACAGTCATTTGCGCGAGTATATATATGTATATGTATATG